ATGTGGCAAGAATGTATCTGCCTTCAGGGCAATCTTTTCGCACAGATTGCCAGGGGTCCTTTGACAGTGCATATGACACAAGTGCCCTGGCAGATATCCATCTTTATCTCGAATACCCATTATCGTAGCGCCCCTGACGCGCCTGTTCCCAAATTCCTGCACGTGACCAACGTGATAAAAAGTGACCGAGGACAATATCTATTGAGCAGAAGCCTTCTGTGTCAAACGGCTACTCAGTTACACTGGTAGTAAGTTCTGTCACAATCAACAGAATGGAGTCAAAGTTCATCTGTTTTTCGAAATATCAGAAACTGCTGTAATTGAAGCTAGGCTGCGTGCAGCGTCTCGCTCCATATTACTCACAAGTTGACGTGCTGAAGAGTTAACGTGTCCCGCCACTGACAATATAATGCACTCCAGGTTAATATGTAAATTATGTTTAATGTTTAAAAAAGCAAGTAGGAATAAAGTGGAACCCTCTGTTTCTCTGATAAGACGACCAGCGCAACGGTAAGAATGAGGACAGGGATGGGTTCCTACTACGAATCATCCATAGATATAAGAAAGAAAAGATCACGACGATAATGATAGTTGGTACTGGACAGAAGGGGCGGGTGACTAGTGTGCCGAAGGTGTGTGGTACCGAATATGATCGATAGGAAAGTGGCCCAGGTCGAAGCTTACTACTAAGCCCATGGCAGTCCTCAATCCGTCGAAGATGCTGGTTTGGTCTAACAATTTGGGAAGATTCCTTGGGTACCTAGTAAAAATAGCATTTAATGTGGGGCAGCCTTCAGTCACATCGACGAGGAACTTACCAGGATAATACCAGAACGTTACACTCAAGATCATGTACAAGCCTAGAGAGTGCATTGAGTACGGAGCGCACCCAAAAATACCACAGAAACTTACACATGAGGATCATTCCTTCCAACCAGTTTGACTTCCCATCCTGCACGACATAATTAACAGTGAGTACTATTTTCCCCTGCCGGTTAGTACGTTCCCCAGCATCGATCCATTCACGCACCGGAAAGAAACAAGACAATGGATTCCAGCGGGTCAAAGAGAAGTGTCAGTGGCTTATTCATAATCCAACCAAGTGTCACGATGAATCTGAAACCATCTGAGTAAATACTATGTAAAAACGGACAAAGGCACAACGCACGGAATCACAAAGAGCGCAATTTGCTGAAAACGGTGAGTCACCATAGAAGCCATGTCTGTAGGGGCGAACTCACAATACTCGAACCCACAGCAACGCCCAAGCTCAAAGTCAGTTTATCCTTGACGGATACCGTAACTGCAGTAACGTGCTCCGCTGCATTGCCGACGATCGGGAGCAAAATAATACCAACGAACTCCTTGTTGATCAACCCGGATGAAGTCATGCCATCGATTGAGTCGACGAGGAACTCTGCAGTAACAGCAACCAACTAAAGCGAAAGAATTGAGAACTTTGTGTGACTGTCACGGTAAGCACGTACCACAGTTACGACAACCAAAAGCCAAATGCACACAGCAAGGTTCATCAATGGTTGCTTGAGAGCCTCAGTCTCCACTGATGCTATGGAATTTGTCCCAGGTTCTACATCAGGGTTGGCATCTGCGGGGGGGGACAACGTTGTGGCTGCCTCTCTGTCATGCGTCGAACTTGGGGAATGCACTGTTTCGCCGTCCGTGATATTCCTACGTGTCCTGTGCAACCGGAATGGGTTGTGGCCTGCGTACGCCTTGGTTTGTTGCATATCTCCGCTGTCATCATCGTAGAGGCCCTTGTGCGAAAATAACTGGAAAACCAGATATGAGGCGTAGACTGGATGATTGGAATAGGTTTAGTCAATTGCTAAGAAAAACATTTTGTTGACCTACTGAATAGGAGAATGATTGCAACCTATACGAAGAACATAAGACCAAACATTACAAACAAATAATCCACGTACGCCATGGCTAGTTTTCAATATGTTGTAATCGGTCGACAATTCGTCATATTCTGGTTGACCCTGAAGAGCCATGTGAAAAGCCCCAGGTAACAGAACAGCAATCACGCTGATGGTCAGTAATGACGAATTAAGTTGCACAGCACCTAAGCCATAGACGCGAGCATTAACAGTCTGGATCAACTTGAAACAAGCAACTGCGTACTTTGACCAAATCCCTGTTCCGAGAAGCGGAGACCACCGGCAAAGAAACACATGCCCAGTACCAGCACTGCGGTATACATCAATTGATTTCGTCACAGTAAGTCTAAACACTTACATAGATTGCTCAGGATAGAACCAACCACTATAGGAAAATAACACATGTCAGGTCAAGGGAAGCTGCAACAGAGTAAAGATGTGGGACACATACAGGACGACTGAACGATTGTAAGCTGACACTTCGCGAGCGCGATGATCTAAAATGGGTCAATTGATCATTGCACAAGCTGCTGCAGGCTAGTACGACGTACTGATACGATGAGTTCGACGCTGTGCGTGAAAGGAAACAACAAGGTAAGAAAGTGATCAACCGAGAAAAAAACTTACTGACGCATTTCCCTATACGCCGTCAAATTTCAGCGAGATAAAAGATCGAAACATGAGTCACTAACCAATGTGGCGTTGAGAAGACCAGCTAGAGTTTGACCGACTCGTAGTGACAGCTCGTCGGTCGCGAAGGCGAGAAGCTGCGAGTACATCAAACCTGAACAATAGCGAAAATGAATCTATGTTACCTTGGCTAGCGGTATGATAGCCAGAAATGTAACTGGAGCGATGTGTAAGGTTGGTTGCAGTGAATGTCAAATCGTGTACTTACAAACGAATATTAGAGTGTCGTGATCGGGAAGAGCAAAGTTTATAGCCCACTTTCGGACACCATGTGTTAGATGGTCCAAGCTAAGACAGAAAGAAACATACAGATATCGGGATAAAGACCAACAAGACATTTAGCCCTAGAAGACGATATCAACGCAGTGCATTGGGTGCAAGTAAAGCATTTCACATGAAGCAAAAACAATCGCTTGAATGCTTCTCCACACGGTGGGGGCTTTGGCTATCCGTTTTTCTGGTTGCGCCATTAAGGTTGCAGCTCTTTTAAACTTGGCCAGCCAATTGAGGGACTTCTTTTGACGTTTGCTGCCTGAAGTACTTATGCGTGGTCGATTGGCAGATGCGGATGATCTTTGGGTAAGCGGGAACGTTTCCTCTACAGCATTGGGCGCACGGCTGCTACTTGCAGTGGAATGAGCCATTTCTGAAGGCCCGTCACGCAGGGAACCTGTCCGTGGTGGCAAGGATGATGAGCAAGATCCAAGGTTGTGATGGCTTTTGGAGAATCTAAACGTACCCATGGTACACAGCAATGGCGGCAGGAGGGCAGTTGTTGATGCTGCTGCGTTGGAAACGCTAGCCTTTAACTGTGGTGCCCTTGCCGTTGTGCCAAGAATTCCGTGTTCTAAACAACTTTTCTGGAAACTACGTTCTATATATGATCGGTGATCGATGACGGAGATTTAATTGAAGTTTCTGCAAACACCAAGGCCAAGCTTGAAGCACTTTCAATTGTGCTATAGTCCCCACGCCGCATCCAAGACAATTCGCAACGGTGATTGTCTTGCAAGTTGCAATATATCTGCACCTTGTGCGCACAATTGAAACGTGTTCAGTTCAACAATGACAGTCACAAGCGTGGCACTGGCTATGCCTGTCAAGTCTGCTATTTGATTAGCCTTCGGCATAACTATCCACTTCTGCCGAAATACTTATGGATGTTTGGTAGAAAGTGTCCAACTTTTCACTCACACTAGGGCCACTGGGCACACGAAAGTCAACTCCGCAGTCTCGCAATGGTAAAATCAAAGACAAGCCATCGTCGTAGACGCCCCTCCGTCAAATTACAGTTCATGGTTTCCGAGCAGGTCGGATATAGAAGACTGCCAGTATGTAGCAGTGGCATTGCCTCGCGGTACGCCCATTAATATGTTCGGGCTCGAAATACTTACCGCAGGCTGCCCAGTCAAATGGTAAGTAGAGACGCGTTTCACAACGTCATTCGCTTGGATTGGTGACAACGCCGACCCTTATAGCCAACCCATCGATGCGGAGCCTTGTGGTGAGGAGGCTAGGGGGCGGGGGGCTTCGAGTCTGACGAAGGGCGTAAGCTGAAATGGGTTTCGAACACAGGTTTTCAGCGATTGCTACTCCCAAAGAGGCAAACCCATACCCACAGAATTACCGGTTATAAAGAAGGCCTGGAGGACTATACGGTGGATCGGGTTAGCCGAGCGGAAAGTTTGTTATCATGAGCCACTATCCATCGACCGCTTTCCCAGCAAACTTCCAGTAGGCATGGAGGCTGACATGGCAATGGGGTATGGTATGATCTATCTAAAGAACGAGATCAATATGTGATTGGCCTATGTTGTGAAGCTATATTTACCTCGATGTCAGATTCAGTCGCCGAAGAGAGCGAGTCCTACCGCACGGAGATGATAGTGGGCACTGGGAGAGATGACAATAGCCATGAAAGTGACCATCTAGACCAAAGGGCTGTTCGAGAGAGCAAACTGTGGGTGCACTACCTTGGGCTGAACGCTGAGCTTTTATACATAAGGTTCCAGACACGAAACGCGGAAACACAAACTCTCATTATGACGGGCGTGCCACAAGACGGATACCCCGCGCCTCAATGACTCGTTCAGACAGGAAACCGAGCCAGTGCGGCAAACGCAGTTGAATATTGAGATCTCGAGACGTCGTTCAGGTATCAAAACTGTATGTGTTCCCAGTCTATGCTTACAGTAGTTAACATGGGCAGCATTCATCGAAGACCAATTGGAGGTGTACGAAATCCACTCAGACTCCAACTCAGGTTATAATTAAGGGAGAAGCACAAAATGACGTGATTTTGTAATCCACTGTGCCGTCATTACCTCTGCAGCAGCTCAAAAACTCGAATTTTGCTTCTAAACATTATCCCTTGCACAGAACAGTATACCACACGTTCTAACAACGTACCCAGAATTTTCCGCCACGAAAATCGTGCAGGAAACGCGTCTCTAGATGAGCATCTATGCTTTAAACGCGCCTAAGCTTCGCCCGTTTCAACAATCACGTGACCTGGAAAATTTCGGCCCGTTATATCAAGTACCTTTGTGTTATCAATTGATGGAACCGAGCTAACTCGGAGGCTGACTCATAACAGGGCGCTCGACACTCACAAATACTCGGCTCCAAGTCCACTCCACTCTTGTCTCGCTGTATTATCTTGCAAAAAACAGCCTCTCTATCTCATCTCTTAGAATGGCTTCAGAATCTCATCCAAATGGCACAGTTGCTGTTTCCTTGCCAAGTAGAGAAGGAAACATGAACACCAAGCCACCAGTATGGCCTTTGGACGCCAGTGGAACACTTACCCCACCACTGCCGGCGAGATGTGACAGGCACGATCGCCTGGATGGCGTCTGCTGCAAAGACTTGAAAGACGACGATGACCGCACGCTTATCGATCCTGATGTCATTCGTGATATGTAAGTACTAGTAATTGTCTCGGTTTCATCATATCGGACAGAACATTGAGATAATTTGCAGTGTCATCGGACTTTCAGACGGCTTGACAGTCCCCTTTGCTCTAGCAGCAGGTCTTTCATCTTTGGGCACCTCAAGATTGGTTGTCGCTGGCGGAATAGCTGAACTCATCGCTGGTGCTATTTCTATGGGCATTGGTGGCTTCTTAGCATCTTCGGCAGAGCGGGATCATTACCATTACATGCGACGCCACATATCGGCTCGGGTGCAACGGAGCTGCGTTGGAGAAATGGAAAGGGAAGTATGTGCTGTACTTGTCCCCGTAGGTGTCGACGAGCAGGCGTGCCAGGCGGTCACCAAGTGTCTCAGAGATGCTGAATTTGACCCTGAAGCCAGTGCGAACGGTTCACCGTCAGATGAAGAAGCGCAGTTGCTGAGATGGAAGGACCAAGTCGGTTTGACACCCTTTTTACTCAAATTTGGAGAGGGAATGGGTGTGTATTGTTTTACTTTTCAATACCGCTCATATTCATTGTTTCATTTTTAGAGGAAATCTCGATTCGTCGAGTATACTCTTCGGCGCTGACAATTGGCTTGGGGTACTTGGTTGGCGGAATCATTCCCCTCATTCCATACTTCTTTGTTCCACAAGCGCATGTAGCGCTCGTATACTCTTGTATTGTCACAGGCATCGTTCTGTTGATATTCGGAGCCGTGAAATCTCGTGTTACGGGTGCTGGGCAGGGTGTTGGAGGCTACATATGGGGAGCAGTCAGCACTCTATTAGTTGGTGGTACCGCTGCTGCTGCTGCTTTTGCTCTTGTTGCATGGCTGGAAGACTCGTAACCACTTACATTGTATGTAAAGCTTGTACAAGTCGTTATTATCATTTTGTCGTTTTTATAAGTTCCGCCGGAGATTGCTGAAATCAACAATCCCACGTGGCGGCTGCGTCTAAAATATTTAAAGATCTTGATCTTGATCATCACAAAAATCTAACCGCCAAGTTAAACGCTATTGTTCAAGCTATGGAGGCGTACGAAACGTATCAGACTCCTCTTTCTAGGTATTTCACTCTTCACCAAGTCAATTTCCGTCTCGATTCACCTCTGTGATAGTCGATATGCCAGCAAGGAAATGGCTCATCTCTTCTCCCCGGCAGTATGTGATCGCATCGTCCATTGCAACTCCTGCTTAACTTTATGACAAGCATCGATTCACAACATGGAGAGAGCTGTGGCTCAACCTTGCGATTGCTGAAAAGCAGCTCGGACTTCCTATCCCGGATGAGGCACTCGAACAGATGAAAAGCAATTTGGTGGGTGAATAGATTGGTATTACATGTTACGTACCTCATTTTCAATGTGGCCAGGACCTTACTGCAGAACAATTCGATATTGCTGCGAAAGAGGAAAAGAAGCGTCGCCACGATGTCATGGCGCATGTTCATACGTTCGGACAAGTTGCACCTGCTGCCGCAGGTATCATTCAGCACGTCATGTCACTGTCTTTTTCGGCCCTTTACTGAACGTGCGCTCATTTCAGCCTCGGTGCAACGTCGTGCTATGTGACAGAGTAAGAGTCGGGATTTCATATCCGCTGTGACTTAGACTGACACTCAATTGCAGTAATGCGGACTTGATTTTCATTCGCACCGGCTTGACATTCCTCCTTAAATCGCTTGCTGTTGTAATATCACGACTCTCGGCTTTTGCTGCACAATATAGAGCACTGCCTACCCTTGGATTCACGCATTTCCAACCAGCACAACTTACAACTGTGGGCAAACGTGCTACTCTGTGGATCCAGGTGCAATGTCTAATATATCAAAGTTCTGGATGTAACCTAACACGTATTACACGCGCAGGAGCTTCTATGGGATTTGAGGAACATTAAACGGGCACGCAACGACATCGGATTCCGTGGCGTCAAAGGCACCACGGGGACACAAGCGAGCTTCTTGACCTTGTTTGACGGCGACCATGACAAGGTCGAAGAGCTGGACAAACTTGTCACAAAACTCAGCGGGTTCGACTACGCATATCCCGTTACCTCACAGACATATTCGAGGAAGATAGATATTGACGTCCTTGCCCCTCTCGCGTCCCTCGGCGCTACAGCGCACAAGATCGCGACAGATCTGCGGTTGCTAGCGAACCTCAAGGTCATCTTATAGCCTACTGATTCGATTTTACCGTTATTGAAGGTTATCTATTAGGAAGTGGAAGAGCCCTTCGAGTCGACGCAGATAGGGTCCTCCGCAATGGCGTACAAGCGGAACCCGATGCGCTCGGAGCGTGTGTGCAGTCTTTCGAGGCACTTGATGGTCCTCCATCAAAATGCACTTATGACTTCTAGTGTACAGTGGTTTGAGCGGACACTCGATGACAGGTAATTTCCGATGAACCAAGAATTTGTGGGCATGCTGACATGACGATGTCAAGTGCAAACCGAAGGATAACTCTTCCTGAGGCATTCTTGACGGCCGATATAGTTCTATCGACGCTACAAAATGTCTGTGAGGGCCTCGTGGTGTACCCGAGGGTTATCGCGCGCCGGATTGCCCAGGAACTTCCGTTCATGGCGACTGAGAATATTATCATGTCTATCGTCAAGAAGGGGGGCGATAGGCAAGAAGCTCATGAGAAGATCAGAGTAAATGACCTCTATACATATCACTGTTGTGGCACCATACTGATACTTTCATCATACTAGGTCCTCTCCCACGAAGCAGCACACCAAGTGAAGAACCTCGGTCTCGAGAATGATCTTATCGCACGTGTGCGAAACGACCCATATTTCAGTCCTATCCACGAGGAATTAGAGCAACTGCTGGATCCGCAAACCTTTATCGGGCGGGCACCAGAGCAGGTGGACAAGTTCCTGAAGGAGTGGGTTCAACCAGCATTAGATGAGGAGGAGCTGAAAGTGGCAGTTGCGGACGGTGTTAAAGTGGAATTGAGCGTTTGACAAGCTCTTGAGAAGTTTCATACGGGGAGGGGTAGCCACCACAAGAAGTCAAAAAAGTGAAATTCATACATATCATTAAATTTAAGGATGTTCTTACTCTCATGACAAGATGCCGAGATCCCGGTGCGGTGTTGGAAAAGTTGAACAACCGCTAACCGCGGGTCTGTTCGCAGTAAGCTGTAACGGCGCTACGGTTCTTTGCCAGTTGTCCGTCTTTCCGTTGCTTTCATAAAGCGCAAGGTAGTAACAGAATACCCCGGATCCTAGCGGACGGTGAGTAATTCGTTCGAATCAGTTTTTTGCCTTAGGATGGTGAATTGACGATCAACGGAATGCCAGGTGTGCCATCATCTCCCACGCCGTCGCGTGTGGTCTTCTCATTTCAAGCCTTCGAATATCAACATTCTTTGCATCTATCACCCATCCTGTCATCCTTCGTAACTGCTGGCTAAAACTAAAGATCTGAGCTGCGGTACATACTATCAGAAGCGGGTATAAGAAGAAGCTGTGAGTCCTCATCCTTGTCTCTTTTAGTTATGTTCGGGCAGTCCAGCAATCCCCACGCGGCTGTGTTGTTTTTACATGTATCTGTAAAGAGTGGCCAGCTTTCGGGTCGAACTATATACAAAGTCTGACTGCGAGCTTCACCAGTTTCTCTTCGCTCGTATGGACAGTCTTCAAATCCCAGACAATTCTTATGCAGGTCCTTCTCGACACCATGGCGCTTCGCGTACTGTGTCTGTGTCTGTGCAGCCATCACCTGTAACCACGTCACAGTCCACGTCACGGAGACAAAGAGCATCACACCAAGTGGTCTCTTCGCAGCAACAACTGCAGCAGCAAGCCGAAGATCAGCCTGCTTATCGTGATGTTTACTCGCACCCAGCTGCTGTGGCATACACTGCAGCACACCCAAGGCGTACCATTCCCAAGTTTGGGCCGTATATTTTACTTCAAACTGTTGGCGAAGGAGAGTTTGGGAAAGTGAAGCTGGGGCTACACAGTCAATGGGGAGAAGAAGTCGCTGTCAAGCTTATACGGCGAGGCAACATAGACACTTCTGTGCGGATGTCCAAGGTGGAGCGTGAGATCGAGGTTCTTCGGGTAAGAACTCCATACGTTCTAGAGTCGAGTCCATGATGCCGATAACCGTCCATTCATAGACCCTCAAGCATCCCAATATCGTTCGATTATACGACGTAATCGAAACGGACAAATATATCGGCATAATTCTCGAGTATGCCTCCGGCGGCGAGCTCTTTGATCACATCCTGGCCCATCGGTATCTAAAAGAGAAAGATGCTGCCAAGCTCTTCTCTCAGCTAATTTCGGGCGTCTGGTACATCCACCAAAAGAAGATCGTTCACCGCGACCTCAAGCTTGAAAATTTGCTTCTCGATCGCCACCGTAATGTCATTATCACTGACTTCGGATTCGCCAATCGCTTCGAGCATCGTGCAGATGACCTCATGCAGACGAGCTGTGGTTCACCTTGTTATGCCGCTCCAGAGTTAGTGATATCAGAAGGGCTTTATGTCGGTTCTGCCGTCGATATCTGGTCCTGTGGTGTCATATTGTATGCCATGCTCGCGGGTTATCTTCCTTTCGACGATGACCCTGCTAACCCTGATGGTGATAACATTAATCTGTTATATAAATACATTGTCAACACACCCCTCTCTTTTCCCGACTATGTCTCCGCGGAAGCCAGAGATCTCCTCTCTATGATGCTGGTCCCCGATCCCACACGGCGTGCTGATCTGCGGTCTATCATGGCACATCCATGGCTATCAACGTACTCCTATCTCTTTGAGAAGACCGTGGATGACCTGGAGCACGTTGCAATGGAACAGCACCAGCAGAGGAGACTGGCATACCAAAGGCAAATGAGGCAGGCAGCGGCAGCCGCTGCAGCCAAAGATCCTGCCAAAGTGTCACGGACGCAGAGCGCACGGGTTGAAGGCATCCTAAACAGCGCGGTCACCTCCGCATCACCGCCAAGGAGCCACTCATACAGAGACCAACCTTCTGGCCAGCCGGAGCTGATCTATGACAGTTCAGTAGACCAGTCCATTTACTCCTCGTCTTCTCCCGCCAATACTGTTCCCGCTTCCCGGAAAGGCGCAGTTTCTGCCGTCGTTATGCCGAAGACAGTACAATCGTCCAATGATGATGATCCCTTCGCACCATCTCCGCATGCTGTTCATATCCCCGTTACCATCTCCAAGCCTGATGACACACCATCGGTTGGAAGGAGCAGTAGAGAAGGTAGCTCTCAAGGAGCCCTATCTTCTCGTAACGGTCCTCCGTCCTCTGTCCAACCAGATCCCGCAAAGAAGAAGGGCACAATTGATAGACATACGATCCAGGTCGAGTATGCCGACCACAGTGCTCCGATGCCGGAGCCTGCTCCACATTTCAGTCAGTCTATCGCCAAGAAGGACAGCTCACAGACGGGTACCTCAGATCGCATCCTTCCCACCCCAAACGTCAGTACTCCTGCAAAGCAGAAGTCCAGTCGCGACTCTTCCTTCAATACAAACCTAAGACCGCTTCCTGCCCCTCCTGCAGCCAGTACACCTTCCTCACGAAACCAACCATCTCAATTGTCTTCATCGACCTTACGCGCTGCGCAAAATCGGACGCCCACCGTCTCAGTTTCTCCAGCAAGTCCCCCTATGTCTACGGAGGACAAGTCGTTTCGGTCTGTCAACACAGGCAACGGAACCAATTCAACGAGCTCGGCCTCTAGCCGCCATCGGAAAGGTCTCTCCATCGACAAGTTCGGTTTGGGCAAGATATTTGGTACAAATGGCGAGCAAGCTACAGCCAATGGATCCACATCCCGTGTGCCGTCAGAGAGCTCTGCTGCTGGAGCATCCTCCATCGTAGAGGAGAGGAGAGGTTCAGCGCAGAACAGCGTCAGCGATGTCCCAACCTCTCAGTCCAAGTCTTCGCTCCTCAGCCCAGGGGGATCCAACAGCATCACTGATGCCGAGGCAAGCAAAAAGAACCGGCGCAACACCCTCACCGTTATCGTTGAGCCCTTCAGCCGCTCAATCAAATCACTCTCAAAGAAGACGCCTGCTGGTGACACGCCGGTTAAGGACAACGAGAAGAGCGTTCCCCCTTCTGCTGTTACTTCACCTCAAAAGCAAACTGCTGTGTTCCCCACCCTGGGCAAGGTGCAGGACGGACCCACTGGCGATATGGCAGCTTCAACGACGAAGGCACGGAACGTCATGCAATGGTTCCGGAGGAAGAGTACCGCCAAGGCTGGCAGGGACGTGCCAGACGATTCCCCTGAAATGTCTGCCTATCGTAGAACAGAGTATCCTTCTCCCAGTCCTACCTCGAGAGTGGAGATCAGAAACGCGGATCTATCTAGGACACATCCTGCACAGGATGCATCCTTCTCGTTCAGTAAAGCCGGCCGCATGTTCTCGTCTTCGTCGTCGCCAAAAGATGTTTTGCGTATCCATCATGGCGCTGTCGACCAGACCACTATCACGACCAGGCCTCCCCCCGAAGTCATCAAACACGTATGCCAGGTACTGGAGGGGATGGGCATCGAGCTCAAAGCGGAGAGCGAATACAAGTACCGCTGTATCCGTGCGAAGAGGAAGAAGAGCAGTGCTATTGGCTTGGGATTCACTGGAAGTGGTAATGGGTTGGCTGCGTTCACGATGGTTGGGTCTGCAGCATCGAATGGGGTGAGTTCAACCGGTCGATGTTGTGGATTGCTCTAATTTTGATGGTCAGGTTGACAAGCGCGGATTGCCTGTGCCATCGACTTCATCGTCTGCGGGAGGGATGCTCAAAGGCTTGCTTATGCGCAGGCAGTCTTCCCAGGTATCAGGCGTGGCGCCATCCCAAGCTTCGATGGACGATGACACTGGCGCCACGGCTTCATCACCAGTCGACTCACAAACGGGCACTCGTGAGGCAATTTATGGTGATACAAGCCAAGATGCAGGGGATGAAGTTCGCTTCTCAATCGAATTGACACGCATAGATCGTTTGAAAGACACGTATAGCCTTGACATTCGTCGCCTGAAAGGTAATCTTAGGAGCTACAAGTTCTTGTATGACACCATCAGAGAGTGCGTCCCGCTGCTTTGGCTGTCGTTTGAACATTCACTGATCTAGTTTATAGGCGTGCCGATCTACAGCGATAATTTCAGGGCTGGAACCCTAAGCCATCGACACGCATCCATGCCCACTGCTCGCCACCGATACCCTACTCGTGCTGTAATCTCCCTCTTCTGCCTCAAGACGTACTGCCTTATGTCTCCCTTGCGTCGCTGTCTGGTCTAGTTTTCATTCTACTTGTGTTCATTGCTATCGTAGCTCCTTGGTTTCTGCATTAAGTTCATCATCGCACCTTCTGAGCCTTCAGTCAGCGTCATAAGATTTCATCTTTTTCTCTCTTTATCCATCCTTGTCTTCGTTCCTTAGTTATAATTGGCGAATCTCAATTCAAGTTTATGCTGTACCGTATATACGATGTGTCACTCGGACCACTCTTATTTACCCTCAAGGAATGGATAATGTACATAATTCACGCGACACAAATATTGAGATCTTATCTACGTCATACACCATCCTTCCATTCTTCAACTGCTTCTCGACGCTTATTCCACTTCTCCATCCTTAGTAGATGTGCATGAACGACCGATGGATGACGTGTTTGGGGTTAGGGTGTACGAGATGAATAAGGTTCAGAAGTCATGGAACACGACAACCCGAAGCTACTGTGGTAGAACTGAGGCGTAGCTCGGTGGGTGTGGGAGGCAGTGGTAGGCTGGCATCAGGTCTTGCGGCAAGAAGTAGGTGAGGGGTTCATTGATGTAGCCCTCTGGCGAAAATGGGACATAGTCCGGCGGGGGCGCGAGGCAGCCCCGCGGCGAATACGGTGGTTTGGAAACCTCTTTGTTCATGCGGTTGTCTGTCTTCAACGTCCTCAAACAGCAGATCTAGAGCGATCTGACTGTCTTGTAGAAGCTGGATACGAACTGCATGCGACAATCGAGACTCTTGGAGTGCAGGGAGGAGCAAGTCCGAGCTGTCCTCAGGCAAGAAAGGAGTCATCCTGTAGTAGTCGTCCACTAAATCGCCCCAGGTCGCGTAGTATGGCACAGGGTGCGGTTCTGTACTGGAAGGCGAGGATGTTGAAGTGCTCGCGGGATCCAAGGTCAGGATACTGTCCAAACTGGTGGGCATTTGTGACTGAATGACGTGTTACAGCAGGAGATTGAGCAAGGAAGGCTGGGATGCAAAATGACGAGTCTTAAAGATTAAGATGCAGGTGGGAGCCTGATGAAGGATCCCGGGAAATATCCCCATCGACAACTTGATCGAGTGGCTCATATTGTGTAATGTGGACTGATGGCGGGGTTTTCATTATCGAGACATTCTTCGATTTTCTTTGCCTTCAGCTCGTACAGAGCCTTCATTTCGGTGGACTTGGTTTGGTGGCAGTACCACAGGTTGTATGAACACGACGGACATCGACAAACCGCAAAGAAAGCATCGCAAATATTGTCCCGACAGTCCCACCTTCCGGGGCCATCCACCCAAGTTACAGTTTTCTCAGAGCCGTGACAGTAATGGCAAAAGAGTTTGGCATACGCTGCTCCTGCACGTCGACCAGCCTGTTCTCGAGGGTGACTCAGACGGCTGGCACTGTGACTTCGCTTTCGTCATGTTTTGTGTCGGGCCTGCTAGGTTCAACTTAGCGTGAATATCTTGGGGATCTGCTAGAAGTAAAACCACCCGAGTCGTGGCCCAATTTGAATGCGCTTGGCAGATCCGAGATCTTGTCCGTCATGGTAGCCTAGGATGGGATTTAGATATGAGCGCTTCGGACTTCCCCAAGTCCAAGCGGGAACTTCCTTGATTAGTAACGTCGTGTCCGGTTGCGGATATCAAAATCGGCTTTGCGAACTTCAAGTTGGTGCTTATATCCTCGCGGCTCAGCAGACACTGCCTAACATGCTACGGACATCGATTAACGCGACGACACTGCCCCACTATGTGCATGATACGACTATTCAGCTCACTGCTGTGTAGGAGGTCCTTCAGCCTTTCACTTCCGTCCGTCTCCCCTCAGCGCACGCGGCTTCCCGAGTTGCGTCTCCAACCAGTCGCACGCATGCTCTCTTCGCGCGCTACTCAACCTCAAATTCAGTAATATCGGACTCATCTCGGCCCGACCTCTGTCATGGGATGGTTACCCGCAGAGACTGCAGGGGAAGCGGACGCGGACGCCAGGTTAAATGATTTCGTAGAGAACCGTATGTTATTTGTTCCTATTGATTCACATACCCACTGAACTGACTGAAATTTGCATAGCCAAGTTTCGCATAATCATGCACGAGGCAATCCAAACTGGGTCACAGGAAAATGTGAACGATATTTGGATCAACGCTGCACTGCAATTACAACAAGGCTGGATGCATATACACGGTATGCGATGCTCCAACTCTGCTTACGTTCGGTTAGAACCACGAACATTGTCTTAGACAGCCGCAACCTTCCAGCGCTAGGCAGAATAGGCGACCCAGATGATATCATCGCCTCTGTATTAGTGCAAGATAGCAAAGTGAGCTTTGATGCGTTCTGCTCAATATTACTCATCAGCTCCTTGGAAGATTCTTCCCGACACGTACCAGTCCATGTCATCTTATCGCCTTTGCACTCCTGATGGCCCGACTCTTCTCACAGAGGGACTTGCAGCTAAGTTGAAGTTGGTGCTAGAGGGCGCCATCGCCCGAGAAGCGGCCCAGTGACGCCCCCTGTGGTCGCACCGTCGTCCTCATTACCAGGAGTACCCTCAGCAGCAGGGGCTTTAAAACCTCATGTTCGCCCGATGATTGCCAGTCAATCGTGGACAACTAGTACTTATTACTTGCATTTTTCACTGAGCACCAGTACCACATTCATACTTACATCTTCGCATAGCCACGATTCATCAGCCAAAACCCTCATGACTTGCAGTTCGAAAAGTGAAAAGTGTGCATCCATTTACAAATTTGATAGAACGTGAGTCCAGCTCCAGAGAAGCTATACGATGAGATCACAAAATATACAGCACAACCAAGAGCAGAGCACGGACACAAGAATCAAAGCAGGTGCAGTAGTAGATACGGGGAGGATAGATGAAGAGCAAGATAAAGGTAGGGGAAAATATACTCGTTAGATGTCATCAAGACTGTCATAAGATATGATGCATAGAATGTGGCTCCTGGGCTCTGTTTTGTGACGAGGCAATGAGTCTTTACCGGTAGCTGCGTGGCGAGCGAGGTCCGAAAAGACCAGGACTGCCATCGTCAGGCACAATCAGGTTGGACTCAATCGACGACGGCGTAGACGCCCGTGCAGGGTTTGCTAGCATCCGTGGCATCAATTCACCTTCTTAAATGATGCAATGAAAACTCAATACTCACGATGCCAGGTAACCCAGGAATGCACAGGCTCCCCCATAGGTGCAGGATCAAGTTCAGGGGGCCGTGGCGAGCGAGGTCCGAAGAGACCAGGACTGCCATCGTCAGATACAAGCAGGTGAGGCTCAATCAGCGGCGGCGTAGGCGCCAGTGCAGGGTTTGCTAGCATCCATGGCGTCAATCCACCTTCTTAAATGATGCAATTAAAACTCAATACTCACGATGCCAGGTAACCCAGGAATGCACAAGCTCCCCCGTCGGTGCAGGACCAAGTTCAGGGGGCTGTGGCGTGCGAGGTCCGAAGAGACCAGGACTGCCATCGTCAGATAAAATCAGGCGAGGCTCAATCGGCGGCGGCGTAGGCGCCAGTGCAGGGTTTGCTAGCATCCATGGCGTCAATTCACCTTCTTAAATGATGCAATGAAAACTCAATACTCGCGATGCCAGGTAACCCAGGAATGCACAGGCTCCCCCGTAGGTGCAGGACCAAGTTCAGGGGGCCGTGGCGTGCGAGGTCCGAAGAGACCAGGACTGCCTTTGTCAGATACAATCAGGCGAGGCTCAATCGGCGGCGGCGTAGGCGCCAGTGCAGGGTTTGCTAGCATCCATGGCGTCAATTCACCTTCTTGAATGATGCAATGAAAACTCAATACTCACGATGCCAGGTAACCCAGGAATGCACAGGCTCCCCCGTAGGTGCAGGACCAAGTTCAGGGGGCCGTGGCGTGCGAGGTCCGAAGAGACCAGGACTGCCTTCGTCAGGTACAATCAGGTGAGGTTCAGGGGGCCGTGGCTGGTCGGGACGTGGCTTGCGAAAGCGACTCGTGTTGCGAAGTGTGCGCCATGATGGATAAGGAGATCCAGGTTCATCAGGAGGCGGGGGAGGCATCTCGGGCGGTGGCGGTGGATCAGGCGCACTAGGGCTAGGCATCGACGGTCTCCTATCAAAAAATATGAGAACGGCGCAAGTGAGTGGTTAAGACATCTTACCACTCAGATATCCAAGTTCACTGAAAGAGACAGATGTTCAGACACACGAACGATGTATTCAAGCAAGAGTGCAGTTCGAGCGCCTGCGAGTGAGGAAATGGCTTACTAATCGAGTGGCGCATACAAGGCGTTTGTACGTGTGTCTCTGAGTCTTGTCTTTACTCTCATCGTCCCCATCTTGCTCCTCTTTTCAGTGGAGGGTTCTCGCGTATATGCATTCATCAATTCCTTTCATATACATCTCATCTTCGAAATGGCCGAGACCTCGAACCCTGAACCCCCGCGAGGGGCGAGTGGCAAGAGCATTAGGGATCACATCTGGATATTATATCAGCCACTCGCTACCACTGGCACAAATAACGAATGGCGACTCAGAACTACCACTATATGACGGACGACATAGCCCGAGTGCTGTGGCTAAGTTCTATGGTTGTACTACCGTCTGGGTGGTTGTTGAAATGCAATGTAGCAGTTTCTAACAATGCCGCAGACGATACTACAAACCCAACACCATCCTAGCTTCCCCGGATGCTGGACACGTTTCTTACTCCTCGCTGACATTTTCTATTGTCTCATATCGTTCCCTTAGACCTCCTCCACTGAATCATTTTTTTGTGATCCATTTCTGTCTGTTGAGACATAGACTCTAGTGATTACTTGCTACTCTAATGGGACCCACTTCATCATTGTACTGTATTTCCTACTATAATGTTTCGTTCTTGACATGGCAATTCTTAGTGCGGAATTCCTGAGTGCGTTGTGTATGATGTATCATACACAACGTCTACCAGGAATTTCGCACTCAGTCCTTGTCGATGCTAGCGACATTCTTGCAATTGAACGAATGCTACAGTGAGCATATTTTGACTCCTGCTCAAGTGCTCTTGTGGTTGGTCATGTGCGTGTTATCCGTCTTGCTGGATCTCTCACGCAACGACCTGGAAATGGACTGGTTTCAAGGCTCCCTTCATATGTTTCCAAAATCATTGTCCTCGTGGCACTCTGGTTCTTTATGTATTGAGATACGGTGTGTCTGACCGTAAAATACTTCCTCGGAGTCGGTTGCCGTAGTATAATTCGCGAAATAGTGTTAATGCTGTACGAGGCCGCTAACATCACGATCAACTTCCTGTGAGGAGCAGGGGATCCACCTTTTATTTGAGTCACATGAGCAGCACGATGTGTTGCTCATCCAGGACGGTCACCGCCGGGAGGGGTAGGATGTGGCATTGTTAGAGTACTGCCACAACTGAGTGTTGAGAGGGACGTCGAGCGGATAGCAACAACTATTCGAGCAGAAACACTAGAGATTGGCTAGAGCGCACGTGAGGGATATCCGGCCTGTACGACAGTGATATTGCGTCGCGATGTCGTTCTGGTAGCCAATGCAGTAGCTGGACTACGTCACTAATATTAATGTTGACCGCTTGTGTTCTGAATAGGCATACAACACAACCAGCCAACAAAACGAGCACGCCATCCAGTAACGGTGATATGAGGACGTGAGGTTGTTCCCGTTGCCTCAGCGATACCAAAGACAATGGACGATGTCGGGGCAGTCGCAATGGGTGGTAGTTGCTGTGACGATGATGGTGTACTCTTTGTTGTCGCGCTGTGTTGCTGCGTGATATGAGTATTGGAAGGTCGAGACGAGCTGGCGGCTGGCTTCTTCCTCGCGTGATGGTTCCTCTGGGGGAAAAAGAGTCAGTGGTTGGTCAGTGGAGAAGATGGAAACAAAACGCACAGGCTTTCCCGCTGTGTAAGGGACCTCGACCTCTCGCAACTGGATGTCTGATCCATCTCGTCTGCGTATACGAGATACTAGGTTTCGAGTCCAGCTGAGAGGTCGGGATAGGGATTGAGTGTCGCGCTCAGTTGCCCCATGTGAATTGGAGCGCCAGAATGAGGAAAAGGGATTGAGGGTGCATTGACGTGGTGCTGGAGCGGGGCGGTCATGTAGCTCATGGGATTGGGATAGACGAATGCGCAGCTGACAACATATCGGTCACAGCATTGAATAATAGATGGATATCGCATACATTATCTTCTCGCAGTGCATCATCAAAGAACCCTGGAGGTATTCGAGGAGCATCTTTCATCTTTGGAGCTGGTCGCGGTGTAGCATCAACCTGAGGGAGCAAATCCGCCGTCAGTGTCATTGAGAATGAAATGTGTTTAGGCCTACAATGTCTGACAGAAGACCAGCTTCTTTGACGATAGCGGAAACATCCCATGTGTAAATGTGGCCGTCGGGGCAGCTAGTGACGAGGAATTTTCCATCTGCAGAAAAGGTCGCAGAGTTCACCCTGTGTTTATGGTGAAGTGGCATTCCGATGGGTTGATTGGTTTCAAAGTTCCATAGTTGTATTGTGTTGTCCCAGAAGTTTGATGTGCTTGTGAAGATGCACTCATTGGGAGGTATTGAAATGATATAGACGAAGTGTTCGCGCACGTCAATGACAGTCCAGGTGGCTGTGTTGAATTTGGATCCTCCGGCGAAAAGCGTTTTGCCATCTGGGGTCCATTCTAGGCATGAAAAACGACCCTGGAGTGTTTTGAGCAATTCGCCTGTGTTGGCATTCCAGATTTTCAGCTCATCCCCGCCTGTGGCAATCACCTTAGCATCAGGTGAGTAGCAAACCGTGTGCAATTTTCCTGCTTTCATTGGTCCAATGATGGTTCTTCCGCTCTCGACATCCCATACTCTGAATGTTCCATCTTCGGATCCGCTCAATATTCGCCCTCCATCTGAACTCCAGCACGTGTGATGCACCAACTCTGTATGCCCCGTCCACTTTTTGATAACCGTGCCCGTGTCGATGTTCCACAATCTCACTGCGCCATCCCAACTCCCGCTTGCCACGATTTTGCCATCCGGCGATAATGCTATGGCATCATCAGCGAACCGGTGAACAAATGAGAATGGTATTTAAAGCAATATATTGTAGAGCATCGCAACAATCTTCGTAAATCTGCTGACCGCTTTCACATGGGAATATTTGGCATTGTCGAGGAAAGACGGATTTGCAAGTACGCTAGCCCAGTAGCACTATTTACTTCACAAGCTTTTGCACTCGGATGGATGGACGAAAAAGTTAATGCACACAGGTTCATGAAGTTAAATACGGACTGAGACTGAGAGGGTCAAGGAAGGAGGTTTCAATGTGCTAAAACAAAAGACACTTTGGTGAAGTTCCCTGTGGTACGGATGTATATTATTTGGTCGTCGCACAATCCATTTTGCTAGCTCAGAGTGACTATGACATGAGTGCAACTTGCTCAAGCACACGAAGCATGAGTCTGTGTTGCAAGAAGACCGTAGTGACGATATCTATAAATGATTTAAAAATTGGTATAAAGCTACAAATACACGTAATGATTGTGCTAAATTGTAATCCCACCCAATCATTGGCATCTTCATAATTTAAACCTTCTGGCCTCCCTAGCCCAAAATTTCTGATGAACTTGTACACTCCTCAAATACGTGACGGGTGCCCAAAAGCAAGCAAGCGCGAATTTATACATTGCTTGGGATATTCGAGCAACATTTTGTGTGTATCCCATCATGGGACACTTGTATTCACTTGCGACACGCTCCGCACAAGTCGTGGTATTGCGCAGACACCGTGTCGTCTTCACTTGCGCCAATGTGAGAAATGAGGTTGAGATGTATAAGTCCACCAACCTATTAGTATCATTTGCTTCGTAACCTTTTTGACTTGGATGGCTCTGAGAACAAGTGAGTGGGCACGGGTTCACGAGTTTAAATAGGGACCAAGACTGACAGATAAAAGATAGAATATTAAATTGTGTGAATATGGAATACGTCGTGGTGATGTTACTAATGGTGCGGATACACATCGTTCAGCATTCAAGCAGTATATCATTGCCAGCTCAGAATGACCATCAATTAGATTCACGTTGATCGAGGGTTGAAATAATGACACTGTGTTACAACCAGACACTTCTTTCGGTGATGTCAGTAGTGATGCGGATGGGTCTTGTTTGGCCCTGGAGTAGCATATTGTTGCTAGCTCAGAATGACTATCAATTAGGTTTAAGCTGCTGGAGGATTCAAATCATGACGTTGTGTTACAACCAGAGACTCGTTTCGGTCATGCCACTAGTAGTCCGGATGCATATTGTTTGGTGTTCAAGTAAAACATTGCTGCTAGCTGACGGCTACACGATCATTAGTATTGTCACGATTTCACCCCTTTTGTTTCCGTGTTTTAATGATGAACAATTATTTTGCTCGTTGCTACATAGCCAAACTGCTCTGTGAACTCGCCATTTTGACCATGCATATTGAAAATGATCGGAGAGGTCTTCACGAACGGTACCAGATATTTTGATAATAAATGATGTCGTGCTTCATAGCATATCAGAAAATCACATTGCGCTATCACAACAAATCCATAAAATTTCATACATTAGCAGCAGAGGTATATCTATCATTAAATACATGTAGTAGGCAAATAATGACAACTAGTCGGAGTCAAATGCGGCGTCCTCCATATGCTGTCTCTGAGCAGCGAGCGCATTGACGGACATTTGGGAAATAACCTCCATCGTTAAGTCCTGCCGATGGTTTCGCCCGAAAACTTTTCTGCAGTGAGTTAGCCGTCAGAATGAGTCGCTGCTGATGGTCGGTGACTTGCCTGGTCCACCACTCAAGTAACTCGTTCACCCTGGCTCGTGCAGCCGGTCCCGGAGCGTCCTCAAAGAAGTCTACTATGTTATTCCAGAAAATTTGATAATCGAAGTCGCCGTCCATGATGCGCCAGGACGTGATGTTGGAAAGGGCAAATCGGACCTGCCCCAAATTTCAATTGGATAGTTCGAAGTAAGTATCAATGCTTACCTGACAAGCTGTGTACGCGATCGCGCGAGGGGTCACTTTTCTCATACCTATGATAGCGGCCACACACGTTTTCACTTTAGCTTGATCGGATCGTCTCCGGGCACGTCGGTTGTTCTCAATTATATCGGCACCATCACCTTCGCCATCAACTTCATTGGCGGAGGAGGGAGAAGTAAAGATGGCCTTAAATGCCTGCTATGGAATGAGCTGTAAATCGAATTTTAAAAATAGAGTTGCTCACCATAACCAATAATTTCGACTTCATGAGACCGCGCTCTAGATTCTTCGAGTCAGCTTCATAGTCTTCATACATATACGACGGCCACGAATTCTCTGAAACAATGAAAGTAAC